TCTATCTGTATTAACGATAGTTTGATTACATCGGCCCATTAATTTTTACTTGGCTTTTCCAAGTTCATCCCTCTTGCCGCTCCGATATTTACTCAAAAAGTTTCCTATGAAGTTTGTTTGAATTAATTTAAGACTGTTAATATGATAATATTAAGAGATTTTTCTTAATAAATCTCTTACAATAGAACATAAAGCTGGCTAGGGCTATAAAGCATCTATTTTGTATTTTTTAAACCCAGCGAGCCGGTTTTTTTTCGTTTTGTCTAAGAGTTTCCTAGGTTTAACTGATCTTCTTCTTAACAAAACATGTAAACTACTGGACATAGAACTCCCCTAAAGAATTCCACGAAATCTGGTCTTGTGCCATCTGCACTTTGTCACAAATTGAGACCCACAAAAGGCTTATAGTTGGGGAAGGCCCGAAGTCTAAAAGGTTGAAAGAGTCCGATTACAAACCAAAACCAAAATTCACATGTTTTTGTAACTTTTTTATACAAAATGTTGCATAAATATTACTTAGTCTGTAACTACCTACCATCTCTGAAATTCTATTACAAAAGCTCTAATTCGGTCTAACTTTACAGCCATGCAAAGTGCTCATATATTTACAATGGTATATACTCGTACGCGATAGTCTGAGTTTGTTTTTGAAAATTGTTTATAAAGCTGTCACGTACCTCTAACATGAATTCAACGGCGAACTAGATAAATATTCTGTTTAGTTTTACATAGACTAATTTATTATGTTTTTGAATAATAAATACTAATATTATTGACTTTCAATTAAATATAGAAAGGTATTTTACTGGTAGCTTTTTTATGTCTTAGAGCTTTTTTATAAGCTTTTGCTATTTCGCATTAATAAAATAGTTAATGAATTAATTAAATATTTAAGTTTTTTAACTTTAGAATTTTACTGAAACCGCAAAAATATATTTTTTATGGAGATGAAGCCAGACGTCAAAAGCGTAATATGAAGAAATGTGCGATAATACGTATATACATTGTACTCGTATATTGTAAACGATTACTATTTTGGGAATCGCTTCCCATTCGCTTATACCTTGTTGTAGTAGTAAGAGGTCCCTGCCCGAACACAATTTCCACCAGGTTACAAGAGGCTCTCAATACCATCACAAGATGGTGCAGAGAAAATGAATTATCAATAAACGCTGATAAAACAGTTATTGTACCATTTACCAGGAAAACGAATCTTGAAAGGCTGACTGAACTCAGACTCAATGTCAGAACCCTTAACCTATCAAATGAGGAAAAGTACCTTGGAGTCACTATTGATCAAAAGTTGCCCTGGAACTCTCACCTCAGCAACATTATACAAAAAGGCAAAATGGCCCTCTAGATATGTTATCGAATGGTTGGAGCCAAGTGGGGCCTCAAACTCAAAATGGCTCTCTGGATGTACACCGCTTTGGTAAGGCCGATCATAACATACGCCTCAGTCGTATGGTGTAACAAAACCAAACAAAAGACAACTATGAGTAAACTAGACAGCGTACAACCGATGGCATGTCTAATCATCACGGGAGCCTTCCATTTGGCACCAGGCGACGCTCTAAATGCTTTGTTGGACATAGCTCCGCTATATTTCCACGTGCAAAAAGAAGCTAAATCTTGCCTCTACAGGCTCTGTACACAATCGAATGTAAAGTTGCAATCGCAATATATGAACAAACTCAAAGAGTTGACATTCGAACACAAAACTCTAAAAATGCCAGTCGATGGCATGAGCACAGAGTTTAACTTCGCAAAACAGTACCAAATAGATCTTCCCAACCGGGACATGTGGCTAAAATACCAAAAGTCTCACAAAAAGGGCAGTCATGTTTGGTTTACAGACGGATCCAAGAAAGGATCAATCTGGGCAAGGAGGCCACCATCTTTCAAGCCGAGGTCTTCGCCATCAACAAATGTGCTGATGTCATCCTGGAGAGAAAGCTTAGAAACCAAAATATCTACATCAACTCAGATAGCCAAGCAGCACTTTTGGCTATAGATGCTCTTGAGACCAACTCTAAGTTGGTCAAAGACTGTATAGATAATCTGAATGTCCTGGGCACATCCAACAAAGTTACCCTCAGATGGGTCCCGGGTCACTCAGGCATAGATGGGAATAAAAAGGCTGATGCATTGGCAAGAAGGGGCGCTGAAACCCCAGAATGTGGCCCCGAACCATTTTGTGGTATTGCAAAACAACATGCCTATTCAATTATCAAAATTCACTGCAATCGCCAAGCACTTCAAGAGTGGCAATCCACTTCTGGGCAAATACACTCTAAAGCGCTAATTAAGGGGTATCGCAAAACGTTTACAAAAGAGTTGCTTCAACTCAACAAGTATAAAACCAGTGCAGTAACCACAATATTTACTGGTCACTGCAAACTCAATAAATATATGTTTACCATCGGCCTCAGTCAGACCGCAATGTGCAGACTATTCCATGAGACAGAGGAAACTGCTATGCACATCCTCTGCTCGTGCGGTCCACTCATGCACCGCAGAAGTATCTATCTAGGGCAGCATATTATGTAACCGGAAGAGATACAGATGCTCCTCGCTCAGAAAATCTGGAAGTTCCTGGAGTTAACAGGACTAAGCGGAGAACTTTGAACTCATTATAAAGGGAGCTACAATGGACCAAAACTGGCCGACGTAGTTAGGGCCGACCTCGGCACCACACCCAACAAAATAATAAATAAATACCTTGTATCGACGGAACCGACAAAATCGATCTAAGCATTCTATGAATCACATTTTTACGACCTGAGATAATAATTTTTTTTCTTTGATAGTACATAATATTATTTTTCTTGTATGAATGCATTTTTTTATAAAATCACATCACCATCTAGTTCCATGGTAAGCTACGAGACTCGTGTTATGGATACCAGATAGTTGGAAAACTACACATAATATTATATAACTTTAAAAACATACTTATTATAAATATAAACACCCATGACTGGATTACAAACATTAGTGCTCATCACACAAATGAATGCCCCAGCGGGACTCGAACCCGCGACCGCTTGCACAGCAAGTAGGGCAGTACAAGCTGAGCCAAACATGCCGTCAAAAAACGTAAAAACCAAGCATACTCTGTGTTTTTAATCCATGGATATCACGATTAGCGCTTTGATGAGACGATAATTTTTAATCGTTATCAGTATTATGAATTACAAAATGCTATATCGTTGTCAGATTTTTCTGTTGAAGATGTTGACTAGGAAGTCCACTTGGTAATCAGAGGGCTTAGCCATGTCAACTATCTATAATCGTTAACGTTTTAAAAAACTAAGTTAAAATAACAATATTTAACACTTAAGTATTTCTATTACGAGTATATTATAATATTTTATTCACTCATTTTTTATTCACGAAACAAAACATATTTTGAAATAAGACCGTGCCTTTGACGTGTAGGAACGCTCACCTTAAAGTTTTTTTTCTATCCACATTATAGAATGAACGATTGACACAGTTGTGTTGAGATTCTCGTAGCTAGCAACAAATCGATTTCTATAAAGCCATCGATAACACGCTAACAATGATAGAAAGAGATGAGATCGAAAACGTTTGTAACTTAGCTAAGTCCTCAGTTTTTACAATCGTCTTGAACGAAAATAGAACCCGTAGACTCCGATAAAGATAATAGTGTCAGACTCATATCACGCTAAGCCTTCATTCAATAGCAACATAAAGTAATAGAATAATCTATACAAATAATAAAAATCTAACTGAGTCGATTTGAACATTATTTTTTGGAAAATCTTATTGAAATAGTCATTATTATCGATACAGAGGCCGGCCGAACCTATAGTGTTTAGAACTTTTGTTTGTCTGTCTGTCGGTCTGGGAGTGTATCGCGAGAAAACCGCTGGACAGATTTTGATCCAGGTCAGCATATTATAGGATACTTTTGACTGCGGGAAAATATCTCATCTCTGAGAAATCTATACTAAACGTTAAAATGTAACTAGGGACGAACCCGAGCGGAGCGAGGGTGAGTCGCTAGTCTAAAAAAAAGTTTCGAACGTAATGATATTTTTTCTTAGCAATTTACGTAGAGTCGAATTAAATCTGCGAAGGAAACCTTTTGTGGGTTATATTAATTAAATACGACTGATTTTCCTTCACTCGCGCTAGTCCCTAGATTATTTTTGTAACAGATTAATTTATGTCCCGCAGGAAAAGTTGACATAGCAGGATCAAAATTACGTGTAAAAACCACGCTAATTCATATTTTTTATCTACATGGTAGGATATATCAATAAAATAAATAAAAAGACAAAATTTCACATTTAATATATGTATACTAGCGACTTAACCTCGATTTGATAGGGTAGGTACCTAACAGTAGCTTATGTTTTACTCTATGTCATAGACTGTCTGTGTGCTAAACTTCATCCAAATTCGTACAGCATTTTCAGCGTGAGAGAGTAAAAAGCATACTTACACATACATACAAACTAGCAGTTATAACAGTCCTACATACAAGATTAAGTAATAAAGTTTTTTTATTAATATTTTGCTATCCTCTGTATTTTGAAAGTGCCCAGAAGTTAAATAGGGCTGAATATCTATACATATAGATAAATAAAATTCTGTTGGTAATGTTGAAATAACAGGTTTTTACTAAATATATATGTAAATATTGTACTTATAAGAAAAATACAATGTTAAAATTTTTTGTGTCTATCTGTCTGCCTGCTTATTTGTTTCGGCTAATTTCCGGAACGGCTGAACCGATTTTGAATTTTACTGGCAGGTGGCTGAAATTAAGAGTAACTTAGGCTACTTTTATTTTAGAAAAATAATTAGATTTCCGCTTAAAAAAATTGAAAAATGAAATTTTGAACAAAATCCGTACTAATATACCAAATACCGCTAGGGGTGTACCCGAGTAAAGCAAGGGTAATTCGCTAGTGTTTGGTAATTTTATTTTGAAATAAGTCATTATTGAGTCAATAGTTTGGTTACAGAATGCGTCGCTGGCGTTTGCTCCTGCGCTCACGCACCCCGTCTGCCCGTGCCTATAGTTGACGCGCATACTCTATCGATACAAGGAGATTTATTTGTGAATATAACATGGACTCTACCTCCACCAGATGAGCCACTTCGCTTACCCCCAAGACTTATGAAGAAGTATTATTTTATCAGGTAATATGTTACTTATAATCATTAAAAATGTTCTAATTCATTCTATATACAATTGCCAATTCTAGATTAATATTCTGAGTCGAAACTGTACATTAAATATTTCTCGAAAAATCTTATTGCAATAGTCATTATTATCGATACAGAGAGCGAATCTATAGTTATTGGAATTTTTGTCTGTCTGTTTGGGAACAAAATATCTCATCTCTGAGAAATCTATACTAACCGTTAAAAAGTTCTTAGGGACGAACCCGAGCAGAGCGAGGGTGAGTTGCTTGTATTAAATAAAATGTAACTTGGTATTTAAACGAGCAACTGTTGAGTTTCTCGTCGGCTCTTAGCAGAACTGCCTGTCACTCTTTCTTTTTCTCTTTCTCCCTCGATTTTTAAATTAAATTGACGTTTCAAAAGTAATAATACTATTTTATTTGAATATCTACATTAATCTAATTGAATAAAGCTTAATTTCATTCATTCAAACAAATACCTAGTAGCTTTATTTTTTATTTATTTTATTTTTATTTATTCATAAAGTATAAGTTAAATGTATGCTAAAATAAATTTAGATAATAAAGTAATAAATATTTTATTGTTTAATATTGAAATTCTGAACATTTTCATTTTACGTATTCAATTAGTGGGGGAAATTTTATTTTTCGCGCTCGGTTTTAGTGTCCTTTGAGGCCAATTGTCACATGAAAAATAAAATAAGTAAAATTATTACGTAAAGCACTTTCCTAAGTTTTGTTTATTCTTTTTGTCCTGAAGTCGATGTCAAAAACAAACTCGCGAATTTCCGAATGGATTATTCGAGATGTCGACGTTTCTTTATCAAATAATATTATGTATTTTGATACATATTATGTACATTGTACATATACCATATATATTTTGCTTTTGTTATAATAATGTTGACCCAAATGATTTTTTTATAAATGTTTTTCCATACAATGCTTTACCAGACAGACAGACAGACAGACAGACAGACAGACAGACAAAAATTCTAAAAATTATAGATTCGACCTCTGTATCGATAATAATAACTATTTCAATAAGATTTTCAAAAAAATATTTAATCTATAGATTCAACTTAGAATTTTATTATATGTAGAGATATATTATGGTAGCTACAATTATTTACTTTTTTAGTCTTGGAAAACAAATGGTGTCAGACGCGCATCCTGCACCATGGTTTGCAAATACCATATCCCGTAGAGTGGACGCTACCGGGTTTGTGGTAGTACCGGACGTTCAACATTGGCAAGTACTGCCAGTTACAGAGAGAAACAGTGATCGTGGTGATAAAAGTGATAAACACATGGTAAAATTGCTGGCTAGGGTCAGTTTAGTGGATGAACGTGGTTGTATCGGCCAGGCTGGCAACACTACTGCTTACGGTTTGTATATACATATAATAAAATTGCAACTAAGCGAAATCTGTACATTAAATATTTTTTTGGAAAATCTTATTGAAATAGACATTATTATCGATACAGAGGCTGAATCTATAGTTTTTAGAATTTGTGTCTGTCTCTCTGACTGTCTGTCTGTCTATCTGTTATCGCATCACGGAAAAATCACCGGGTCATATAGGATACTTTTTACCGCCGGAAAATATCTCATTTCTGAAAAAAAATACAAAAACTGCAACGTAAGAGTATACTGATAACCTAAGAATTTGGTTTTTGGTCATCTAACGCGGGCGGAGTCGCTGGTAATGCTAGTATATGCTATAAACTTTCTTCTTACATATACTTTATCTCTTATTCTCTATATTCCTAGTATTTAGGGATGATTTTGCAACGAAATAAAACATAAAAAATATTGTATGAATCAATTGATCAATTTTTATATTCTATCAAGTTATAATGGATTTGTTTGCTTGTTAAAAAGAAGTCATAATAAGAATCACGACGGTATCAGACGTTATTCAAAAATGCTCTAAAAGTGAACTGGACTGTGAACATTATATATATATCATTCTCTTACTAAAGCATTTTTACTTTTTATGTGTCTTGGTATATATTTGAAAAAGACAGACAGACAAACAAAAATTTTAAAAAATGTATTTTTTAATAAGTGACGTACTTATATGCATATAATAAAACGCTGTTATTTTGACATTACAAACAGACACTTCAATTTTATTTATCTGTATAGATAGATTTACTTCATACAGCCATGCCTCATATATTATATATAGCTTTATACAATAGCAATTACACGTGAGAAAACAATAAAATTAATGTTTATTATTTAGAAGCTAATGGTTTATTCTATTTCCGTAGATCCAGCGAAGATAGCGAAATCAACAGTGGGAACTTTTGTAAGTAAATTATTTATTAAATACATATGCCAGACACTTGTAATGTGATTGTGATGAAGGGTAATATTGGGAATGAATATATTTAGTTTTATGGAAAACGGGATATGTGTTGATGTTCTAAAAACACGCCGCATGTTCAAACTATGATTAAGTCCTATTTTTCGAACATTGCTCTCGATAATTTTAAAGTATTGATAGTTTGAGCTTGTGAGCATCAACAACTCGTAAATGAGGGTTGTGAATTTATTCGTTCAAAATTCTAAAAAAATCATTTTTAATTTGTTTATAAACGGTTTTAAAAAAACAATTATCTATGTCTTATTTTGTTAATATTACAAAGTAGAACTCTTCAGTCACAATTTAACGACACGTTTGGCTCAGTTTGTAGTGACCCTACTTGCTGTGCCAGAGGTCGCGGGTTCGAGTCCCGCTGGGGGCATTCAATTGTGTGATGAGCACCAATATTTGTACTCCAGTCATGGGTGTTTATATTTATAATATGTATGTATTTACAGTTATATATGTGTAGTGTATCAACTATCTGGTATCCATAACACAAGCCTCGTAGCTTACCATGGAACTAGATGGTGTTGTGTGTAAAATACATAGAATTTATTACACACCATCAAAAATAAAGTCAATTCTTAGCGCTTCAAATTTGGTGACCATTTGCAACATTTTCTTAGAAATGCCTCCCAACTTGTTTGGAACATTTTTCATGGTGTGTAATAAATGCTATGCTATCAGTCTTTTAAATCATTTAATTATTACACAAGTATTATATATAAAAATCAGCTTTTATAGTATAATGTAAGTAGAATTATGATTTCATGAAAAGGGTGTCTGGCAAAGGTTTGCCACGACGTTAACTGTCTGGCATTGAATGACGTGATTTTTAATAATATTCTGAAGGTAATACCAAAAAATCACACTTTATTATTTGACGAATTTAGATCGGTATTTTACACTACTTTAGTACCGTGTACCTGCCAAAGCCACCATAGCCTGAACTTCATAATGGTCCATCGTTCTTATCTGTGTTGGGAGCTTGCGCTGACAAACTTTCAGCTTTTATAAAATGACGAAGGTCTGACGTTTACAGGCTCTTAAGCCAATAAGAAAGTCATTAATTTTTTACACGTGTCGCCAGAACTGTAGCGCGTAGGCGATTGGTTACATTATTATACTTACATATAAAACTCGCGCGTAGGTGAAATGCTTATTATGAATATGGTCCCCCACAATTGTAAAAAGTCAATTTACTCCACAATATTTCTTTTCAATTAATTTGATTGTTGATCTTTGATTTAACTCATCGATGTTATTAACAGGCGCTTTGGGCGGCGTTTGGTGGCGCGTGCGTGCTAGCTGTCGTAGTGATACTAGCATTTAGTGCGCGAGCAGTGAAACGTGTACTAAACGAATTCCGCCCAACTTCCGTTTCCGCCCCACTACAACCAATGGCACACCGACCACTGTGGTTCCCACTTGGCACGTGAGTAATAGATTTAAGGAATTATATAATGAAATTTTGTGAATTAGTGGACATTAGTTTTCTCTAGTGACTGTTTTTGGAACTAACGAGAGCTGTTGTATATACTGTTGTTTTTTTATAGTGGATTTATTAATTTCAAGCTAGTTCTGCGACTTGTCGCTGAGGAATCTGTTTATCTGTGACACACACATATATATATATATATATATATATATATATATATATAGGTACATGATGAAATTATAATATTATCTGTTAATTGGTCATAATTGATCTCATTTATGTTAGAATTTTATATGTATATATAGATTGTACGTCTCTTTCACGGTCGCAGACTTACGGGTACAGTTATTGATCTAGACCTACATATCTTAGTCTGATAAATATACTCATGTCCATAAAGAACCTTCAAACAACATATCTTTATAATATTATATTGCTGTTTGCTTTAGTTTTATTATATTTTGACTGTATGTAATCTTCAATACTTACAGACTGTATTCTTTACATTGATATCGTAATGATCATAAGAGAATGAATATTTTATAACAACAATATCCAGTGGACCTCTTATATAGAAGCGCAATATTCATCTAGGGAAACTTTTTTTAGGCCTAGATGATATCATAGAGTGCATCCCTAAGCATTTCCTACAGTATATTACAGAGTTCAGTTCTTTACTCTAGCTCAACTAGTGCGGCAATTTAAAGAAATTAAAAAAAAACCAATGACGGTTTTGAACCAAACCTCACAATCTACCACAATCTACAGCCGTATATGCTTAGCTATTAGACCAATAGAGAAATATAAATAAATAAATAAGTTAATAGCTATTACTGTGTCACAGTGAAATGAAATTTTCATGCGGTGTCAGTTGTGACCCCTCAATCGTTTCCCAGTGGCCAGAAAAACACAACGTTAAACTCTCGTTGTCATGACGTACCGATCAATACGTCGTAATTTTGTTTGAATGGGGGCTGTTTTGTTTGGGGGCTGAATGAGTAAAACATATCTTTAGGACAGTAAACACAATATTTAATGTTATATAAAAAAGGAAATCGCTTTGGTAATATAGTAGAAAATGTGATTAAAAACATTTTAGTGCCTATTTTTATATTATCAATTAAATCTTATATATTTCTAATATTTTCGCCAATTATTGCTATTATTAAGTAAGAAGCATTGTAACTCACTATTATATCTATACGTATGTGTGTTTGTTTGTTTTTGATCGTGCTAATCTGGAGCTACTATTATATATATGGTCTATTTATTAAGAAAACATTTTTTCGCTTATTTTTTGACAGCTTCTTGATTATTATTTGACAATGGCGTGCAATCATTAAAAATTAATTTTATTGTTGTATTGGCATGATGACCAGGTTATTATGCGTCTTTTTGAAGTAAAAACTTCTTTACCATATTGAGCGATTTTTAGTAGGGGCAAAACTTATGGGTTCGCGTCACCGACATGCTACATGTGACATGTGACGTCGACACAATCTGGCGCAGACTGGCGACGTGCAGTGTTATATGTTTTGATTAATAAATAAACTATATCAATATGTTTTTTTTAACACACAGCACTATCTAGTTCCACGGTAAGCTACGAGGATTGTGTTATTGATACCAGATAGTTGATATATTACACATATATAACTTTAAATACATACATATTATAAATATAAACACCCATGACTGGAGTACAAACATTCCTGCTCATTACACAAATGAATACCCCCAGCGGGACTCGAACCCGCGACCGCTGGCACAGGAAGTAGGGCCCACTACAAACTGAGCCAAACGTGTCGTCGAATATGTAAATAATTACTGCTCGAAGTGCCAATGGATGTAAAACCGAACTAATAATAATTTCAATTTACAAATCATGAAATTTTAATTATTCATTCTATAATAAATTTTAAAATTAAAAATAACACGTTATTCTAAAGTTCTTAGTTTTCACTTCTGTTGGCAGTCCCCATTACTGCTTATTTTTTTTTCTTTCTTCTAAGAAAGACTTAAATCAGCATAGAAGCTACTCATATTATTCAGATATTAACGATTGTCTAATGCCAGTTTTTGTGGAAAAATGTTCGATCTTTGCCTTTGTCTATATTTTGAATAGAAAGTGCTTAAACGTATAATAATACTTGGAAAAGAATATATAAATTATACATTATCGTCGTTTTGCCGTCATTATTTATCTAGGCGCTTATAAAAATACTTTATTTTTTATATAATAATATTATAAAATATTGTATCTGTCCATCTAATATGGTTACAATAGAAAATCAGTAATAGTGAACTTTTGAGAAGGATTCTGGAAGCTTGTATCCTGTAGGCGGTTTATATAAATTATAATTAATACACAACAAGTATCTTTAATGAATAATTATTTTTTAATTAAACTTGAACTTGTTTACATAACTAAACTTTGAATAAAATTAAGTAAACATATATAGTATATATATTACTAAGAACTAATACATAGGGTACTGTTAATAAAAGAAATGCCAATAGGTGGCGCTGATCGTTAACCAAAATATATACATACATACTATATTATATACATAAAGAAAAGTCGAATGTGTTTGTGTAAAATCGCAAAAGGCGGCTAGAGACTTTCGAGCGAAGCATGGGGAAGTTACTAGTGTTAAAATATTATACGAAATTAGCAATTTTTTATATCTTTCCCATAATATCGCAATTTCATGTAATTGGGCTATAATGTTTTAATATCGCATATCACCTTGGAGTGCGCGATAACGCTAATAGCTCATATGATGGTTTTATTGATTCGAAGTTTGTTTTCGCTGGCTCGTTCATATGTTGGCTTACTACTTCTGAACTTCTGAAAATGTTCTCATAACTTAAACGAATATGTATATATATATATATATATATATATATATATATATATATATATATATATATATATATATATAGTCAAATATATATACAAAGTCAGCTTTGTTACAACATTTATAACTCGAGAACTACTGGACCGATTTTTGCGATCAGCAGAATAACTGTTAAAACATCGGAAAAATTCACGAAAAAAAATATCTATTCCATACTAAGCCTTAAATTGATAAGTGCAACCATCTTAAAGTGAAGGAGTAACATACATACGTCATAACCATATTATATACATACTAGCGACTCACCCTCGCTCCGCTCGGGTTCGTCCCTGGGGTGGGGTCTGGGAGGACCACCCTTATCCTTATCACTTAGGGGTATGAAAAATAGATAGTAGCCGATTCTCAGACCTACTGAATACGCATATAAAATTTGGTAAAAATCGGTAAAGCCGTTTCGGAGGAGTACGGTAACAAACATTGTGACATGGAAATTTTATATATAAGATATTGTAAACCTATTTTCATTATTCTTAATTTTTAACTAGCATATACCTTAAGGGAAAAAATCCCTACTAAAGATCAATTAAAATCCCAGGTACTATACATAAAAATTCATGGAAATATCGCACAAACAATGTTGTACAAAAACATATCAAACTTCCTACATATTCCACACTGACTTTTGATAGCCCCACATCAAAAGCTGAAATATACAAAATGTAATAAACTTACTATCATATTACTCTGGATTATTGCTCATTAAGTACAATCGTATGCGGTATTTTTATAGTTCAAAAAACTCCGTTTGCATAAATATTATTTGTATTTTTGCTTAGTTTTATAGCGTTGCAATTTCGAATATCTAGCACACTCAAGGTTGTTATTTTGATTCTTGAGCTATTAAATATCTACCAGGTATATTTATATTGAACTAGCGACTCACCCTCGCTTCCCTCAGGTTCGTTCCTAACTTGTTTCCCCATACAAACTTTCATCCCCATTTCCACCCCCTTAAGGGATGATTTCCGAGATAAAAAGTATTGTATGTCCTTCTCGGGGTCTCAAACTATTTTCTTACCAAATATAATCTAAATCAGTTCAGTAGATCCAGAGATTTCCCCCTACAACGTCACATACTCACAATCTCACAAACTCACAAACTTTACCTCTTTATAATATTAGTGTAGCCTATAGATTAGTGTTTTTTTTTATTTCTGTACAACAGTTTTAGGTATACAGTAGTTTGCGTGAGATATAACTTTGATCTAAAAGTTGCTAAGGGAAGCACCTAGTAATATGTTAAACGGATTATTGATAAAAGGTCTGTAGAACGTAGGTATAGAAATTTTCTAAAGAAAATATAAATACATATGTATGTATGTATGTGTTCTACCCTTCTTAACGTCCCACTGCTGAGTACGGGCCTCCCTTCAGTACGAGGGAGATCAGGCCGTAGTCCACCACGCTGGCCGAGTGTGGGTTGGCGGACTTGACATGACTTTCGAAAACTTGCTAGGTTCTCTCAGACATGAAGGTTTCCTAACGATGTTTTCCTTCACCATAAGGCAAGTGGTAATCATGTTATAAATGATGATGATGAATGATATAAAAATATCGGAGGTGCGAGACCCGGGATTGGAACCCGCTTCAAGCGCAAGTGTTGGTATTATTAACTTCAATTTAATATTCAAAAATTAATCTTAATTAAATAAGTAGTTGTTATGACTAATATTGGCTAAGCGTATATAAAGTGCGTAACTTTGCTATTTCTGTTTGTTCTCTTAAAGTGTAAATATTCGGTTGTGTGATACCTTCCTAGTGTTAATTATAAAGTTCAAATACATAAAGTTTATTTAAAAGTGAAGCGTTTTTTTCATTTAAGTCCATAATCCAATAGCAAGCGACCGCGTTACCAATGAGCTACCACTGCCTCCTAATATATATATATATATATAATCAAAGTAAAACCGATGAGTTTGTAAAAGTAAAATATTAAACAAAAAAGCTTTTTTGTATTTTAAAAGTTCTTCCGGTAAGCAGTAGCTAAAGATTGACTTTATTTCAGATCTTATAAAATAATGTATATAACTCAAAAACATAACCATCTTTCTGAAACAATCGGTTATTAAGTAAATAG